ATTTATTTTACTTGTAAATAATGGGCATATATATATATATATATATGTATATAAGCAGTGAGGCCAGGAATAGTCAATGAGTCCACTAAATTTATTTTACTTGTAAATAATGGGCATATATATATATATCTATATATATATATATGTGGAAGTTAACAACATATGTATATATATATAACATTATATATATGTTGTTGTTAACTTCCACAAACAGATATTCAAAGGGAGAAGACAGCATCTTTTGAAAAGACAATTTCCAAATCTACCCATTGTAATCAACTAAACGCAATGGAATAAACAAGGAAGAAGTTTTGCAAATACCAAAAGGAGAGTGTTTGGAGAGGATGTGATGGTACAGCAGCCACTAGTTTTATATATATATATGTGTGTGTATGTATATATCTTACACATATATCCATATACTTAGAAAGAAAAGGAAGAGTATTACAGCATGACATGACGTTGGCAAGTTTGAGATTCTTCCTTCTGAATCCCCTGACTTATCAGTCTGTACTTTAGGATATCTGAGAACAGTTTCCAAAGAGGGGAAAAAAGAAAGAAAAAAGGCACTTAACAAAGACAAAGGCCTGAATTGAGCATGTTTTAGAGGAGTCATATAAGCATTTTACCAGAGCTAAGAAATGATTTACAGAGTTAAACTTTTCCCCTTAAAAATTTTATAAAATAAAATTGCATAACATGTTTGTGATTAGTCACTTATCTACTACTGTACTTTTCTTTTGCTTCATTGTTACAAAAACAACCCCCCACCCCACAAAGCAAAAAACAAAACAAAAAAACCCAATCATACATGCACAACAGAAAGTAAAAGTGCCCCTTTTGAGAACATTGGGTCAGCAGAAATTACAGTGCTGAAGCACAGGGAAAGTTCTCAAGTTTGGCCTGATTACAGACTTCTCTCATTCTTCTATTTCCAACTTAAAAAACAAAAACAAAAACAAAATCATACATGCACAACAGAAAGTAAAAGTGCCCCTTTTGAGAACATTGGGTCAGCAGAAATTATAGTGCTGAAGCACAGGGAAAGTTCTCAAGTTTGGCCTGATTACAGACTTCTCTCATTCTTCTATTTCCAACTTAAAAAACAAAAACAAAAACAAAACAACAAAAAAAGCAAACACAAATTCAAAATCTAAATGATAAAAACAATACAGGGACCAGTGTGCTTTTATGGTACACTCCTAAAATAAAGTATCCTAATTCTATACATGGGTCAAATTATATGACAAAACCTCCTAGAAATAAAGAACTGTCAATTAAAGTCAACCGATACAGGCAAAGTTCATTTTACAAATGTAGCAGCAAATATGATAGATAACTGGAGTTGTAAGAGATAATCCCAAAGGACACAGAGTTCTCATAATCAATGGCAGTTTGAATAACAGTAGAATTTTCATCTCAGAAAATATCTTGAACTAAGTAGAGGTGGAAAGGGACATGGGAGAGGGCAATCAGAGGAGAAAGACTAGAGTTGCCTGCCCCTTCTAACCCTGGGTAGTAAACAATTTTGATCTGCTTTGGGAAAAAAATATCCTGGGTTAAAAATCATTTTCAATAAATTGTTTTCAAACAGGTGTCAAACCCACAGTATGCAAACATGTATGTGCCCGGCCCTTCCCCTAACCTTGCTGATCCAATAAACCCTATTCAATGTCTACGACATAAAAACATTTAATTTGGGCTAACAACATCCATCAAAGGGGTGGTGGGCATGAAAGAATGTACTAATACAACCCTCTGATTTCTTCAAAATATCAGGATTTTGTGACTACAGATTAACCGCACTTCTTTTCTCAAAACCCTTTTCTTCAGGCTGTTTTAAAACCATGATTTCTTCTATCCTCTGAACTCAGAAGCATATGAGAAAGAATTAAAATTGGCTTATGATGGAAATTATTGCTTGCATTTATTTTGGAGGCTCTAAATGAGCTTGACACTCTGCTCCCAAACAGTCTCCACCCGAGGCTCAGCACTGCTATCACTGACAACCCTGCTGAGCATTATTGCTTGTGAATACTGAGGATTAACTTGTATGTACAGTAACAGCTTATATATCAGTGAAGGCAATTTAAAATATAACACAGTTGAAAATGAATAGCTTAATCTTCCTGAATCAAGAATCCCACTGAGTGGGACATAATTAAGTGTGCTGATTATTTTTGCATTTGGATGTTGCTAATGCTCTTCAGAAATACACATTAGTCTATAGATATCCTTTCCAATTACTCACCATTTTAAAAAATAACATAATCTGTTTTTTTTAAGTGCAAAAATACAGTATGAATCACAAGTCTCTGTGCTAAAAAATAACCAATTTGTATGTTTTTCAGTAATAAAAACCGTAAAGACAAAGTATGGACACCATTTTCAATGTTATGATCTAGAAAAGAAATAGGTTTGTATTTACATGTAGAAATTCTCTGATCATACTTTGACTCATTTGTACAACATAAAAGGGGGGTCTTGACTAAAAAGGATGTGAGTTGGTCCATAGAAATGGGGGAGTGTTTAAGGTGGGTATCTGACAGTGGTCAAGGAATCAAGACTGAAGAGAATAGAATATAATCTCCATATTATACTCCCAGAGCCAAGGGTCTTCAGATATTTTTACTGGTTAGTATAAAGTGATACAGGGGGAAAGAACTGATAATTCAGTTCTTTCCTCATGATGACAAAGAGTCATCAGTGATCTTCATATGGCATGATTCAGAATTGATAAACTTAAATTAAAATTATTATTCTTTGACTTAAACTAGTACATCTATATGAATATATATGTGTGTACATGTAAAATTATCAGACAAATACACGTAAAATTATCAGCAGGAAGAGAGATTAATATGGATTCTGACTTCTCTCCTGATATTGGAAGTAAAACAAAGGCTACCTTTCCAAAGGAAAACTCCCATCACTTACCCAGAAAGTATTAGCAAAGACTTTTTTTTTTTTTTTTAATTCAATAAAAGCAAGAGGCCTGCTACATTGGAATAAGTCAGGAATTCGGTGAGCCTTTCTAGTTAAAAAGATCAAACAAAACTTAAATACACTGAATTCAAGTCGAACCTCTCTGCAACATCCCATTATCCTTCCAAAATATCTACTGGGGTTCATACAACTTCCGTATTTGTTTTGTTGGTATATTAAATTCTTAGAGTCAAGAAATTATATCAATGATTTATTTGAAATAATCCTTTCCCCTTACTGTAACAAGTTCTTGGAACTAAAGTTTTCAGTTATTTATTAACTTTTTTGCTATGAAGCAAGCCAATGTGACTTTGAAGTCAAAATATAGGCATACAGATCTGAATAGATCTGGTGGTTATTTATTCACAGTCCTGTGAAGGCTATTTGGGACTTTTATTAATAAAAGGAAGAAAAGGTCCGGTTAATACTCTTATTAGCATAAACTTAACGGTATAGGGCAATGTGTAATGAAAATATATGCAAGAAATCTTGCTACTACCAGTCTAATGCTGTTTTTTAGGTTAGTCTGTCATTAAAAATGGACCAAGCTTACACCATTTAGAGCTTTACACCATTCTTGGGTGTAGTTTGAAAAATATTCAGAAGCTTAAAAAACAAAGGACACTCTACAATGATGATGAGGCAACAACAAAAAATCAAATAAAATGTACCCAAACAGAATCAATTTTTCCCTTAACATCCTTTGTTGAATATGCTATTTGTATAAGGAAACTATAGTAACTAAGGAGTCTTATTATCTGCAGGTTTACTCGCCTATCAATACTCAGTAAGTATTAGTAAAGCTTTAAGATCCCAAATGCTTTAAACAATTTCACTACACTGGATATAGGGAGTAAAAATACATTGTGATTGTTAACCTAATGTAATTCCTCCCTTTAAAATACCATCTTAAATTTTTTGGTAAAAAATACCATCTCAAAAACTATATATATGCCATTTGAATGACCAATGAAGAAACATATATAGTATATACTTCTACCTCTTTATATCAATAGCTAATAATCACCTGAAGTATCACTAGCTAAAAGAACAGAAGAAGTAGTTGTGAAGTGAGGTGAATTAGGGGAAATTTATAATTCATGTTAGTAAGCCTGCAAGGGCTAAGAGCAACAAAGTAGCAGCCCTATGTTAAAGATCCTTGTTTCTCAAGAGAAAATGTGAACACAGTCACATTTTAACATCAACAATGGAAATAACAATTAACCAGTTAATACCAGATGCACAAATCACCTGAAGAAAAGAGTTAAGTACCTGCTTCTGAATGGAAGATGAAACTGACCCTTTTACAAAAAGGGAGCATCTAGGTTTCGTCTCTTGAGAGCAACAGGCTCAATTCCTGACTTTAAAAATCTAGATGATTTAATAATATATATCAATCACTGTTAAAATAACTTTTCTGAAGCATCTTTCGTCCACTGATTTACATGGGGAGTTACTATACACTGAAGAAGATTCAAGTTTGCTCAGGATTTTTGAGGGTACAATATTTCTTCAGCTGCTGTCTGTATCACACATAGGGTCATTAAAATTTTCTGTGGCAAATTTGCTACATAGTCCACTCAGACATTATTGTTACTCCTGACAAACTGGCCTAATTCCAGATATATTGCCTTTGATTACGCAACTATGCTACAAGTGTTCAGATCTAACCCCCAGGATGGATGGAGTTCACCCAAATCATTTTGACTTTCTTCTTCCTCCCCCGGGATAAATCAAATTTGTACTCCTGTGGGTTTGACAACTGAGCCTCTTTCAAGTCAGTTAACCTGGTAACTTTTGTCTTTCTTTAGAAGAGACCAAAGAACCCTAACTTTGCACAAAAGCTTTTTCTTCCTCCTGCACCTGGCTTTGCTCAAGTAATGTTTTCTTTTCTTTTTCCTCCTCACCACAGTGCTTGGGACGAGAGAATGTAAACATCGACAGAAACAGCAGCCCTATGACCACATAAATACTTTCCCATCAGGTAGATTCCATCAGCCAACTAAATGTTTCATTTCCTTTGCTTGCTGGAAGTCACTGAGATTTCCGTGGTAATTTAGTGTCCCCTTTACTTTGGCCTCCATCTGAGAAAAAGAGATGTTAAATTGGTATGGGTCGGCATGTTGTAAAAACTAGATAAGAAAAGCAAAAAAGAATAAAGGAAAAAAAAATAGATAAGAAACATAAAACAAAGCAAAAAGAACAATTAACTTCTAATTTTTATGTGGATGATATCTCTAAAAAGATAACCTTTAATATACCACATGCTGTATAGCATTGTAGAGGTTGATAAAACATAAATGAGATAGAAACTCAACAACAATGATCTTATCTCAAATGACTGTGGTTCAGTTGGTTTTCAGTGCCCTATAAATACTACTACAACAAGTATTTATCGTTTGCCTGACGGCCAATGGTGTCAAATGCTATGAAGAACCAGAAGACACAATTTTTACCTTCAAGTGACCCACCACATCTTTCGATTCCTTTAGAAGACAAGGTCAATTTCAAATTCTTGTAAGTGAAATTAAATTTCTTGCCATGATACAGTATTTGTAATTAATTCCCAATTATTTATTTAAATGAATATAATGCACCGGTAATGAAAAAATCCAACTGAGTCTTTGTTTTGGTCCCAACGTAGCTGTGACAGGAAAGTCTGCTACTGAGAATAATGGTTTCTATTTTTACATACTGTTGTTTAACTGTTTAGGGGGGAAATATTGATTATTCCATTTAAACCTCAGCTAAATTACCTACAAAAACTGGGTGAGCCAACGTAGCTGTGACAGGAAAGTCTGCTACTGAGAATAATGGTTTCTATTTTTACATACTGCTGTTTAACTGTTTAGGGGGGAAATATTGATTATTCCATTTAAACCTCAGCTAAATTACCTACAAAAACTGGGTGAAGAAAAAAAAATGGGGATACCTGGGCAAGAGTAGAATCCAGTGACCTGGAGAGCAAACAGAAAATAGAGAAAGTCTCTGACAGGTCGTTGCCTTAGCAAGGACAATGAAGGCCCAAAGACAACTCAGGCCTAAGGGAAAAAGCCAGGGGAAAGAAACCTTTACTTTGAGGGAAAAGGCATGTGTGGTAGAAATACTCTGATGAAAAGGAACAAAGTATTACATAGAATAAAAGAATTTTAGGGCTGAAGAGACCACAAAAGTCACATTGACAGGTCCACTCACGTCATAATGTTAATCGCTCTAGTAAAAGATAAACAAAAAACTGCCTCTATTGAAGAAAAGATGTATCAATGAAACAAATGATTATTTCAAAAGTTTTATAAACAGAATACTATTAAAATAACTTTGGTGACAATATCTAAGACTTTTCCTTACTATTATTTATAATAAGATATTCATCTGCATTTGTAGAGAGAAATAAGTTGACCTGAAGTATAACTAAATCCATAAAATGGGAAGTACTTTTTACGTGGGATTTTGCTCAAACAAGCTTTGGTTAATTAGCAAAATAAAATACTCATATTAACTGGACTGAGAGATTCTTCAAACGAAGGTATAGCAAATTACGGCCCAAGGGCCAAATCTGGCATGCTACCATAAATAAAATTTTAACAGAACCCAGCTAAACTTGTTTGTTTACACGATAATCTGTGGCTGTTTTTGTACTGTAATGGGAGAGCTGAGTAGCTCTCATATAGCTGAGACTATATGGCCTGCAAAGCCTAAAATGTTAACTATTTAGCCCTTTATAGAATAAGTTTACTGACCCCTGGTAGACTAGATAAGATTAAGAGAACTAACATTAATTGAGCTCTTTACTATGTATCAGGTATCATGTTAGAAGCTTTAAATCAATTAGTTTTATCAAATTCTCATAAAAAGTTTATTAAAAAATCTTGTCCCCAGTAAGAGAAGTAATGATCAAACAAATTATGAAATCTACTTAAATTGGCAATTCTGGAATTCAAGAATCCAAGCCAAAAAAATCTCAAGTTCAGTGTCTTTAAAATGTTAAGAGAAGTAATGATCAAACAAATTATGAAATCTACTTAAATTGGCAATTCTGGAATTCAAAAATCCAAGCCAAAAAAATCTCAAGTTCAGTGTCTTTAAAATGTTTTTTTTTTTTTTAAATAAAAAGTTTGAACCTTTTAACTTTGATAATTTGGAAAATATTGACAGTAATATTTCCTTTGTTTCTCTGGAACAGTGGTACTGTCCAGACAATAAGAAAATTAATATAAGAGCTGGAATTTTTGAGCCACGAGAATCCTGTGTGTCTAATTCCTTGCAAGTGGTCATATTCATACCAATCTGCCCCATGAACACACGGTCCTCAGCTGACTCATTTTACCAAGCAGTACTCAACACCCACGGAGGAAGTGCTTTAGTCACAGGGCACATCCCCCCAAGCATTTAAGTTTAGGAAGATCAGGACTGCTCACATTTGTGCATACTTTGTGTTACTCATTTTGCACAACTGCTTTTATGCTCATTCTCTCAAGGGTGAGTCTGAGGCAGTTTACCACTGAGGCCTTTAAGAGGATAAATGATAACCTGTTGTCTCAGGATTGCTACGTAGCTCCCATCTCTGCAATGTGATCAAAGGTAAAATGGTTTAAAGATCACTTTTAATGCAGTGGCCAAAAAGAATAGTGAGGCCTCAGTCAATTTCTAAAGTTAGGAGGGCAGTTAAACAGTTATTTCTCCTCAAAAAATCTTGAAAATGGCCTTCAGGATGGTATCAGCAGTCTATTTACGTCAACTGTTGGTGACAGCAAGAACCTGGAGGCCAATTTGTTATGTACAGTGACCACTATCTAATATCAGATTTTGCAGTGATCTAGTTTGGCTGCAAGTACATAATACATACATTTTGGATCATATTAGTCTAACCACTGCTAAGATGCAGAAAAAGTTTAATGGTTAAGAATACAGGCTAGGGAGTCAGACTTCCTGGGTTTGTATCGCAGATCAAACACTTATTAGCAACTATCTTGGGCAAGTTGCCCTTCAGTAAAATGGGGATCATTATCTATCATTCACAGGCTTATTGTAAGGATTAAATTAGCTAATCCATGTAAGCAGCCACAAGACTATCTGGCATTTAGAAAGCTTTCAATAAATGTAAACTATTATAATTACTGTACATGACTTGTTAACTATCTTGGGAATCCTCTTAGTTATCATTTTCATATAATAAACACCTTCAAAATGGCTCTTTTCATATGCCACAAAAGATATCATTTACTTATTTCCTTTCTCTTAAAAAGTTTGTTACCAATGAGGACTCAGTCATATGAAAATTTTTCTCCAACCTTTGTCATTCCATTCACATTGTTTTCAGAAAAGTACAATCCATACCTATAAACCTATATAAATAAAGAGATGAAGAAATAGGTGGCTTTCTTACCATTAAATGTTTGCTGTAAATGTGTAGGCAGAGGTGAGTGGGAAAGTGTTGCTGCATGTTGAGCTCCTGGCTGTAAACCCTTTAGTAAATCTGAGGGGAAAACAGACTTGTCAGTAATCTCCTTTAAACTAAGATTTCAGCACTCTTAGAAAATGAAAATAGTCTGATTTATCTAATGCAAGCACAACCCCTAATTTCAAAGGCCTTCTAAACTACGGCACATACATTAAAAAAACTTATATATGTAAATGTAGATATGTATGCATATAACCCAACAAATATGCCTTCTCTTATAAATTTCATCAAGACAGAAATGTAGTATATACATGGTTCATCTGTTCATTTTAAATTATAAGTAGAGGGCTGACCGGTTAACTCAGTTGGCTAGAGTGCAGTATTATAAGCACCAAGGTTAAGGGTTTGGATCCCTGCATCAGCCAGCTGCCAAAAAACAAACAAACAATTTATAAGTAGGATCGAGGGCAGTGTTGTAGGTTTGGCTCTCTGAATCTCTGTGCTGGCCAGCTGCCAAAAAAAAAGTAAGTAAAATCCTAGGGTCCAGTAATTTGACTTATACATAGATTAAATAAACTGCATTTCTCTAAAAAAAAAGAAAAGAAAAGAAAAAAATCTATAATCTTCATTAACTCCAACTGGACTACTCTCAATTAGAATAAATTTGTGAGGGTTCTGTCAAACCAGATAGCCAGGTAAGTAAAAGAGCCCCACTTACTCTGAGTTAGGCTATGGTGGTGGAAAGCGGCTGAGGTAGATCCCGAGGTGGTTGTCACTCCAGCTGTGTCCGTTCCAAAGCCAAGTAGCTCCAAGGGAAACTGGAAGGGCATGGTCACTGGAACAAGGCCACCCAGCATCCCAAAAGGAGTCACATTTTGATTTGTTACAGACAAAGGTGATGTCATGAGAGTCAGAGGTGAGGCATTAGCCAATAATGATGCTCCTGCTGTGGACTGTGCAGAAACCAGGGGTCAAAATATATAAGAAATAAAGTATTTAACCTAAATTGATTTATTTTATTTAAAAGCCTCTTGAACACAAAACTATGTCTTATATCTGCTCTAACAGAGACTTTGTGAGACAGAAATTAAGACTGAGGTAAAAAACATATTTCAAAGAGCCACCATTAGTGGTTTTGAAAATCTGAAAATTATATTTGGATATATTCATATACTCAGCTCTTCACCACCACTGTAGACTCTACTTAACTGTTATGTTAATGATGCCTATATTAACACTCATTCACTCTTTTAATTTATTAATTCTTAACTTAGATTTCCAGTTTTTCACTTTTGCTCCGAGACCACAGACCTGACCACTGGTAAATAATTCCATGCAATTTTGAGTGAGTCTCTGAAAATGCTGAGGCATTTTACTACTTGTTTTACAATCTCTCCTGGCACAACGGCCGCAGCTGCTATTCCAGACTATTGTTCTTTCAGAGCCCCCTACTCTACATCCTTTACTTTCATCATGTCACCTTAAAGAGATAAGGCCATCCCAGATGTTCTTCCTCATCATTAGCCTTACTTGCCCTTCTCCAAAGCTAACCACCTGATCTATGCCATGAATCCCCACCTCATAGAAGTTTCCTGTACAAATATCTAGTACTGCACCTTTTCCATGTTTCCTCTGCCTTCTCAGTTACAGAGACCTCTTATTTCTTTTTACAACTACACTAATATTCCTGGCTCTTCCCAATTCCTAGCAACAATCTAATTTATTTGTACTATATTCCTTTTATTGTCAAACTTACTGAATAACTCTCATTTTCCACATTATCTAGTCTCTCCTTAACTCTTTTATTTTTTTTAAAAGATGACCGGTAAGAGGATCTTAACCCTTGGCTTGGTGTTGTCAGCACCACGCTCAGCCAGTGAGCTAACCGGCCATCCCTATATAGGATCCAAACCTGTGGCCTTGAGGTTATCAGGACCACACTCTCCCAAGTGAGCCATGGGCCGGCCCTTCTCCTTAACTCTTAAAAAAGCTGGTTTCCATTCCTCTACTTTTCTGAAATTAGATTCCCTAAGGTAAAGGTAAATTCAAGAGTGTTTTCACATTTCCCCACCTGGGCTTTGAGGGCATGTTTATGAATAAAAACACTTAAATCAGAAATATGTTAACATTGATAAGCTTTCATTGGGAAGTTACTTCAATATACTCCTTCAGCTAATTTAATTCTTTGAACAATTTTCTATATAGTGATTAAATCATTTTTTCTATTTTGACTTTTTTCTTTTCTATGTGTATTTATCAATAAAGATTTGATAAATCACATTTTCTTAGTATCAGGTATTATCTATTACAGTTTCTTTTTTTTTTTTTTTTAAAGATGACCGGTAAGGGGATCTTAACCCTTGACTTGGTGTTGTCAGCACCACGCTCAGCCAGTGAGTGAACCGGCCATCCCTATGTGGGACCCGAACCCGGAGCCTTGGTGTTATCAGCACCGCACTCTCCCGAGTGAGCCATGGCCGGCCCTTATCTATTACAGTTTCTACCACTGTGAGTTTTCTTTTGTAGTCTTATTTCACCAAGTCCAAATTTCTATTGTCAAAAATTTTAGTTCTAAATTTGGTCAGGAAAACTGAATTCTTTAAATATTTTAGTCAATAATAAATGTTAGCTATTGTCAGTTTTATTCTGTTATTTCTAACAATAAACATTATTAATAAAGGGCTAATTGTTTTATTTAATGTATGAGAAAAATCTAAGCAATTTTCCCATACATACCTACCACAGTACATACATTTATACACTTAATGGTCCATCCACTGCTGAACAAAAAATGAAGAACATCCTCCAGAAGCCTCCTATCCTGGTCTTCTACTATCTCTCTAATTGCCTCCCCTCTCTTTATCTCCTTTGTTGGTTATCACTGAAATTTATATCCATAGTTCGGGACGCTCATTTCAATTTCAATCCTGTATATCAGAGAGTTTAGTGAATAATTCCACTTAGATATCTAACACTCACAACCTAACATGTCCAAAATTGAAATCATCTCCTGCAATCAGTTCCCCCACTTTCTGTTAACTGCTATCATCAAGAGTCTTAGTTTTCAGCCATCACAAAATGAAGGACAAAATGAGCTTGCAGCCAAAAACCCATTCTTTCCTTTTTACTAAAGCTTCCTCTTACACTTCAGTACACATCGTCATCACTTTTACTCTTGGACTTGATAGCTTTTCATATTTGCCAGTCTTTTGTAAAGTGGATGCATTTAGAAAAAAATTACTAAGTTAGAAATAATAATAATGTCTGAAAGCAACTAGGACAGAAAATATCCCGCATCAATTTAAAAACTAACAAGAGTTGTTTCTTCTTTTTAATAATAATTCTATTGTAGTCTTAGGATGATAAGGAGTCTCCAAGGCTGTGTACCCCAACTGGAGTGACCTAGTGAGGAACATTAAATACTGCTAATAAGGAGACCCTTTCAAAGCTATTCTGGAGGAGTCTAACTGAAGAATTAAAATAGATGGAAAATATAAATTAGGGCAAGTTCCAAAAAAAGGAAAAAAAATGATACCATGTCATAAATGTTTAACATTTTACACTTTCAAAGGACTTTTATTTACACTTTTATTTATTTATAAATATAAAATCTAAATGGAAACATCAGATAATCTAAATATTACATAGGCATGCATAAATTTCTTTATTGTAAAAGATGAAGGCCTTTCAGAAGTGGGGTATTCCACTGTTGAAATCATTCATGAGCATACAGGAGAAGCTGTGAACATGTAGTAGGTAAATAGTTCAGGATTATATACTATAATCAAAAATACTTCCCATGACCTCTATGTCTCATTCCCAGGGGGGAAAAATGAAGGGAAACCTTGTTCTTCCCACGGTGGGCATTAAATCTTTTTTAAAAACCACATGTTCTATTTCAGTGAGTGCATCGGTCCCCCATTCTCCGTAACACCCAGAGTAATCTTTTGAAATGTAAATCAGACCATACCACTCCCCTGTTTAAGACCCTCCAATAGTTTCCCACTGCACATAGAATAAAGTCCAATGTCCTTATCGTGGTCCACAAGGTCCCCCATGTCATGGTTCTGGTCTTCACTGATCTCATCACCTACCAATCTCTCCTCACAGGCCTTCATTTCAGGTCTTTCCTCTCAGTGTCTTCAAACTACTGTTCCCTTTCACCTCAACTGGTT